TGCAATGGCACAGTCTCAGCTCACTGCAGCCTCTACCTCCTAGGTTCAAGTGATTCTCCTGCCTCAGCCTCCCAGGTAGCTGGGATTACAGGCTCCCACCTCCATGCCTGGCTAATTTTTGTATTTTTAGTAGAGATGGGGCTTCATAATGTGGGCCAGGCTGGTCTCAAACGCCTGACCTCAGGTGATCCGCCTGCCTCAGCCTCCCAAATTGCTGGGATTACAGGCATGAGCCACTGCACCCGACCAAAATGACATGCATTTGTCATCTCAGCTTCTGTGGTCAGGAATCTGGTGCAGCTCAGCTGTGTCACAGCCCTCTCACAGGCTGCAGTCAAGGTGTCAGCTGAGGCCACACTGTCATCTTAAGGCCCAGCAGGGAAAGGGTTTGCTTCCAAGCTCACTCACGTGGTTGTGGGTGTGATTTTGTTCCTTGTGGCTGTTGGACAGAGGTCACCCTCATTTTCCTTCCACATAGGCCTCTGTGTAGTTCACATCTTTGCAGTTGCTTCCTTGAAGCCAGCAAATGTGATTGTGGCAAGACAGCAGTCGTAGTTTTAATTCCAGAAACGATCCCATCCCTTGGCTGGGTCTTCTGAGTAGAAGTCAGAAGTCCTGTCCACACTAAGTGGAGGGTGTGGATAGCAGGAGGCAAGGATCGTTGAGGGCCATCTTAGAAGGCTGGGTGCAGTGGCTCACGCCTGTAATCCCAGCACTTTGGGAGGCTGAGGTGGGCAGATCATGGGTCAACAGATGGAGACCAGCCTGGCCAACAGGGTGAAACCCCGTCTCTACTAAAAATACGAAAATTAGCTGGGCATGGTGGCGTCAGCCTGTAGTCCCAGCTACTTGGGAGGCTGAGGAAGGAGAATCACTTGAACCCAGGAGGCAGAGGATGCAGTGAGCCGAGATCATGCCACTGCACTCCAACCTGGCAACAAAGCAAGACTCCATCTCAAAACAAAAGAAGTCTACCTGTGTATTAGCTTGCTAGGGCTGCTGTAATAAGTGACCACACACTGGGTGGTTTAAACCACCTGAATGTATTCTCTCCCAGTTCTAGAGGCTGGAAGTCTGAAATCAAGATGCCAGTAGGGCCATGCTCCTTCCAGAGGGTCTAGGCCAGAATCCTTGCCACTTCCAGCTTCTGGTAGCCCCAAGCATTCCTTGGTTGTTGGGAACAAGCCCCCCAAAATTTGGCCATAAACTGGCCCCAAAACTGGCCATAAACAAAATCTCTGCAGCACTGTGACATGTTTATAATGGCCATAACGCCCACGCTGGAAGGTTGTGGGTTTATAGGAATGAGGGCGAGTAACACCTGGCCGGCCTAGGGCAGAAAACCGCTTAAAGGCATTCTTAAGCCACAAACAATAGCATGAGCAATCCGTGCCTTAAGGACATGCTCCTGCTGCAGTTAACTAGCCCAACCTATTCCTTTAATTCGCCCCATCTCTTCATTTCCCATAAGGGATACTTTTAGTTAATTTAATATCTGTAGAAACAATGCTAATGACTGGCTTGCTGTTAATAAATATGTGGGCAAATCTCTGGGGCTGTCAGCTCTGAAGGCTGAGACCCCTGATTTCCCACTTCACAACTCTGTATTTCTGTGTGTGTGTCTTTAATTCCTCTAGCACCACTGGGTTAGGGTCTCCCTGACTGAGATGGTCTCGGCACGTAGTGTGTGGCAGCGTCACTCCAATCTCTGCCTTCTCCCTGTGTTTCCATGTGTGTCCTCTCCTTTCCTTATTAGGATGCCCATCATTGGATTTAGGCCCCACACTAAATCCAGGAGGATATTCTCTGCAAATGTCCTATTTCCAAATAAGGTCACATTCACAGGTATTGGGGATTAAGACTTGAACATACTTCTTTGGGAGACAATTCACCCACTATGTCTACCTGCTACAAGGCCCATCAGTAAGAGATGGATTATATAAATTTAGGCACATCTGGTGGAATACTAGATCTCTGGGGAAAACAATGAAAAAGAAGCTCTTTATATATTGATAAGGAATAAGGGATGGTCCCTAAACGATCAAGGACAGGTAGCAAGGTACAGAACAAAGTGTATATATAATATGTTCTCTTTTGCATTAAAGAAAAGGGAAGAGAGGCCAGGTGTGGTGGCACACGCCTGTAGTCCTAGCTACTAAGGAGGCTGAGGCTGAGGCAGGAGAATCACTTGAACCTGGGAGGTGGAGGTTGCAGTGAGCTTAGATTGTGCCACTGCACTCCAGCAAGGGTGACATGTAGTGAGACCCCCTGAAACAATTGCTATGGAATAAAAGATGAAATGCTCCTGATTATTGTAAATACAAAATTGCATGTAGTTCATGTAAAGACAATGCCAGGTTGGACTGCCAGAATGAGAGAACAGCACATGATGTGCTTCCCCCTGCAGAGAGCCTGTGAATGGAGGTGCAGTCAGGGAGGTTTCACATCACCAAGATTCCTATCCCAGAAAAGCAGGTGTTCATAGCTCCGGGAATGGAATGTGACCCTTGTGGAGAGCCTATAAATGGACACACGAGGGGCACCTGTTCATATGGATAAGCTAGGGTTATAAATGCCCTCATCTTGCCACTGCTCTTCTAGGCCTTTTAGGGTTAAGGCATACTCCCTTCTGAGAATTTCTGGTCTAACCGGTTGTCTAGCTTCACGTCCTGTTTCTATGGATTGTTTGTAACCAGCTTTTGCTGCAACTGTTACTGCTGATTAATATCTTGCTAATCATAGGTTATGGAAAGACTTTCTGTCTTAAGGTTCTCTTAGAAATTACTGATGCACACACTATACTGTAAATTATCTCTGTACACTGTACTTCTGCATATAGATGTTATGTTAAAGAATTACTTCATCCCCATGTGACCATCTCACCTCATAATCAAATGACCCTCAATCCCTCACTAACCTACCCCTGCCCTCACTAAACTTAATAATAAATGCTGGTATATCCAGTACATTGGCGGCATGATGGGACCAGAAGGTGGTGACCTCCCTGTTCCCAGCTTTCACTATCTTGTGTATGTCTATTATTTCTCGACCTGCCCATCCATCTGGGAACAAGGAAAGAGCCCCGTTGCATTGTGGGCTGCTGGCCAGATCCCACAATCATGATAGAGTTAGACTCCATCTCAAAAATAAATAAATAAATTAATTAATTAATTTTAAAAAAGGCTGGGAGCGGAGGTCACGCCTGTAATCCCAGCACTTTGGGAGGCTGGGCAGGCAATCACCTGAGGTCAGGAGTTCTAGACCAGCCTGGCCAACATGGTGAAACCTCGTCTCTACTAAAAATACAAAAATTAGCCAGGCATGATGGCAGACACCTGTAATCCCAGCTATTTGGGAGGCTGAGGCAGGAGAATCACTTGAACTTGGGAGGTGGAGGTTGCAGTAAGCCAAGATCATGCCATTGCACTCCAGCCTGGGCGACAAGAGTAAGACTCTAAAATATCCCTGAAAGGATTCATAGGCAACAGCATCCCCCAGATTTCCTAGAGGGTGAGACTAGGAGACAGGAATGGAAGAGATGCCTATTTTAACTTTATAACTTTCTGTACTATTTGAATTTTTTTTTTTTTTTTTTTAAATAGAAAAAGGGTTCTCTCTTTTTTTGCCCAGGCTGGTCTCGAACTCCAGGACTCATGCTTGGCCCTATTTGAATTTTGAACCATGTAAATGTACCATCTTTTCAGAGAAAAATACTATCTGGCTGGGCATAGTGGCTCACACCTGTGATCCCAGCATTTGGGAGGCTGGGGTGGGTGGATTGCTTGAGCCCAGGGGTTCAAGACCAGCCTGGCCAACATGGCGAAACCCCATCTCTACCAAAAAAATGCAAAAGTGATCCGAACGTGGTGACACTCGCCTGTAGTTCCAGCTCTTTGAAAGGCTGAGGTAGGAGGAGTGCTTGAACTGGGGAGAACTGATTGCTTTATCAAATGTGAACAGTAGAATCAGCCTCATGGTGATCCTTGTCGTTGTTTGTGAAATCAGCATTTCTTCCTCAGTTTGTGCATGATTTATTTAACCTTTTTCAAGATGTTTTTGAAATGAGGTGGGTTTCATGGTTTTAGGATTACAAATGATGCTGCAATCTCTACCATACTTGTACACATATCTTTGGACACTCCTGCATATATTTCTATAGTGTAGAGAACAGGATGTGCCATTTTTAATTACAGCATTTATTTAATGCTTCTAATTTGAGTACATTCTGCAAATTTATCTTCCATGGGAACGGTAACAGATCATATTCCAATTTGTTTCCCAGTTCTATCAATGTGTACAACAGAAGGAATCCAATACCAGATGAAAATCCAGATCTACACGAGGAAATGAAGAACACTAGAAATGGGTATTTTCTTATTTTGTAAATTTCTTTTGTAAAGATTTGACCATTTAAACAAAAGCTATTAACAATGGGTTGTGGGGTTTATAACATGCATAAAAGCAAAGTACATGTCAGCAATAGCATTAAGGCCAGAAGGCGAGGTTTAACATCACTTGAAGGTTGACTGAGATCAGTTAAAAAGGTAGCTATAAGCCCTAAGGCAATTACTAAAATAACAAAAGAAAGAGTTAAAGCCAATAAGCCAACAGAAGAGAAAGAATGAAATGACATAAAAACCAGGTGAACACTGATAGAGTAATTGCTCTTCCTATAGTAATTGCACCTCTATCCTACAGAAATACTTACACCAGTGGCTGAAAATGGCCGTACAGGAATGACTAGAGCATCATATGTAATCGTAATATCATAGAACCAATTTAACTTTAAAAGCGTATGGAAAGGGCTACAAGGATGACAGTTAAAAAAAAAAAAAAGAGAGGGCCAGGTGCAGTGGCTCAGGCCTGTAATCCTAGCACTTTGGGAGGCCGAGGCGAGCGGATCACGAGGTCAGGAGATCAAGACGCATCCTGGCCAACATGGTGAAACCCTGTCTCTACTAAAAATACAAAAATTAGCTGGGCATGGTGGAGCGTGCCTATAATCCCAGCTACTCGGGAGGCTGAGGCAGGAGAATCGCTTGAACCAGAGAGTCGGAGGTTGCAATGAGCCAAGATCGTGCCAATGCACTCCAACCTGGTGACAGAGTGGGACTCCGTCACGAAAGAGAGAGATCCCAGAACAGAATCCTAGTGGACCTTGATTTACGTCCTCATATGGACGGAGAGGAGAGGAGGGTAAAGTTGGTCTCGCTCTTCCTTTCCATGAGAGCATGTGCTGGATAGAAGAAAGTTGCCAGCGGTTTAAGAATTTTTAAAATGCAAGAAACACTCCATAGAACGGACTCGAATCAGCCAACTCCAGACTTGAAGCAAGCACACCACCCGACTGAGACACACGGACAGTCAACCCTCGCTCCCACATCACCATGCAGAGCAAGCGCCTATCCAACGCTAGGCGGGGCCGCCGCCTTCTGTAGAACAATTGTGCAGGCTCCAAAGCCTCGGAAAACAGGAGAGACACATCTTGCCGGCTACGGTGGAAACCCGTGCACTGGGTGATTCCGAAGCTAGAGGGGCAGCCGAATGGCCTTCGCCCCGTCCTGCCCCTCGCCCACTGTAAGCTCAGGGGGGAGCGGGAGCCAGGGAGGTGAAGTGCACAGACTGGGCAGAGGCGGCGGGCAGAACCGAGGGGGTGAGAGGGCGTGGTGGCTGCCGGGCAGGAGCCGCTGCTGAATGGCGGCCTGGGTTGTCGGGAGGGTGACTGTCGGTGGAATCTTCAGTGGACGGTGGTTTGGAAGAAAGGCGAGGGGAGAGCAGAGGGGAAGGTGGTGACCCTGAGCGTCCGGCCAGTGGAGAGGAGGCTGTGTTGTCCCTCCTTTCCCTTTACCTGGCGGGGTACAGACCGTGGTTAGGAAAGGGGTTCTCCCTGGAGGAGGCTAGTCCACCGCACTTCGGCTGCGCTGACCCCTGCGGTTTCCCCACAGGCAGGGCCCCCTCTGCGGTGGCTTTCGCGCTACGGGGCGGCTGGGTTCGCGCACTCTCCTCACCTGCCTTGGCTCAACGCCCACGCGGATATCTCTGCCAGAGACTCTTCCCGCCCTCCTAGGCATCTTGAGTATGTTTCCTTGGTGTTCTCACTGAAGCTCACGAACAGACAGACGTGAGCTCTCTGTCTTTTACACGCTGAATTTGACTATAGCAAAAAAGCCCTGAACAAGACCTTGGGTCTCCTTCGGGACTCCCCAACACCCGCCTGCAACCGCGGCTCTTGGCTGGCGGGCAGGCAGCGTCCACCGAGAGCGTGGAACAGCCGCCGCCGCAGCCCCCGCAGGCTGGCGGGCAGACACTAGCAGGAGAAGGGACACCAGGCCTGCGTGGTAGGAAAGCATGGGAGACGTCGCTTTCCCAACGGGCAAGAAGGTCTCCCTACAGTCTTTGAGGACAAGATGGACGGAGGCACCCCTTGCAGGAACAAGGCGGCTGCTGCTGAGGCCTGGCTCCGCACCGAAGCTCCTGGGTCCCGCGGGCCCTCTCCCTACCCGCTGTAGCCAGAGCTGCTTAACGCATCTCAGCTGGCTTCCTCTTCCGCCTCTGCCTCCTCTTTCTCCCCAGCGGTCCTTGGGACAGCAAGGCCCCCAGCCCGTGGGAAAGACCTAGCCTCCTCTCCAGCACTTGCAGAGGGGGTTGGATGCAAGTCTCTTAACTCCAGGAGGACAGAGACCCTGAGGCGGGAGGGGACCGCTTCCCTTGCTGCTTCTCTTGGCACAGCCGGTCCGGGGGCTGGCTCAGGGCCCAGGACTCCTCGCTCCTCCTGGAGGGCCTGGGTCGCGTGGCCCGGGAGCTGGTCACGTGGGCATTTCCCGCACTGCTCCTCAGGGAACGGGAGGCAACATCCTGCAGGGCCCACTCTTACCCGTGAGAGACAGTTGGGAAATGCTCCTGAAGAATGCGGAGCTCTGCGCTCTTGACCACTTAGGAGTGAAGCTTCCGTCCGCCCATCCTTCCTCCGGAGGGTCTTGGGGAGAAGAGAAATGCTCGAGGACGATGCGCTTTGCAGCGTCTCAACCGAGACCACAGGAAAGCAGGGCCGTCTTCCTGGAAGAAGGCAGCGGGAGGCCTGCGGTCGCAGGGAGGCTTGCGGAGCAGGAGCGCCCTCTCTCCGCCGAGCTATTCCACGCCTTCCAGCATCCCACCTGGAGGACTCCTCTTCCTCTCTCTTCTCCTAGTGCGGGTCTTCTATCCTGGTGTTCCTTGAATGCCTATCTTCCTTTTGTGCCTCGGAACCTCTCACGCCCGCCACAAGTTACTCTTTTCCTTGGTTGTTCTGAACTTTAAATAAGGTCATGCAGGTAAGAGTGCCACAAATGCTCAATAATTGTCATCTGTGATTATTTTCATCAGTAACATCTGAATCATCAGTGTTGTCTACTTTTAACAGCTGCGTTTTTCGTTGTCCGAATATAGTCACATACATTTGAACATTTTATAATTATTGAATAATAAATTCATTCTGCTATTTTACAATAAAAATAATGCTGCAGAGAGCATTCTTACACACATATCTTGGCAGATGTAGGCCAGGGGCTCTTCTTTTATGAATCCTGTGGCCAACCTATCAATGTATACACCTTTAATGAGATTTTGCCAGCAATCAAAGCCTTCAGGGAAAATGTCCCTAGTCTTTACTACTTTGGATCAAGGACTCTGGACAATTGGAACAAAGTCCTGGAATAGCTGAAACAGAGACATTATTCTCTGCTCTCCTCTGTTGTCTTTGTTTTTTCACAATGTCTTAATAAAAGTGCTGGCGACAAGAGTGTAACTATGTCAGTGTTCTCCTGCTGTCCTTGCCTGTGTGGGTCTTCTCCCAAACCGGACTTTCTTCCAAAGGCTTCACTAAAAAAAGGAGGGGGCTGCGGGGGGAGGGGTGGGGGGGGAGCGGGGAGGGGAGGAGGAAATAAAATGAATAGGGAGGAAGCTTCTCACAGGCCCGGAGAGGGTAAGGAAGGGAGTCAAAGACAGAACTTTCTTCAGCAAACAGTAACAGGGGACATCTGGGGACGCTGAGAGTTTTTAAACTCTTTGATCCATCACATAAGTAATCCATGATTTTCTGTTCCACAAATCAGGACTCATACTCCTCGCTCCCTCCCCACCCCCAATCCTAATTCCTGTTTACAAAGAATGTTCAAAAATAAGAAATTCTGTGTAACAGTACCCAGTTTACTCAGGAAATTCTCAGATTACAGAGACATTACAAATAAACAAGTGAAGAGAAGAACCTTGGTGGTTCCAATATAATATGGCCATTGTTTTATACTCAAAATATAGAAAGACAACTTCAGAAAAAGAAAACTTTTGGAATTGAATAAATCAAGTTTATCATTAAAATGCAAAGGAAAAAAACTCTCCAAATGTTGCTGATCTTCTATTTTAAAGTACTGCTAGACTGGGGAGCCGGAGAGCGGGAAATCCACCAAAGATTTTTGGATGAAAATTAATCACCCCTTGTCTACCATAGTCACACCTCAATGCCCCTCAGACCCAATCCTTCAGAAGGAGTGTCCAAGAGGTATAAAACAAAACTGGAAAAACAGTTCCCAAATTCTGGAGTTCGTTTTCTCTCCTTAAAAATATAAATATCAGGCTAACACCTGTGACACACAATAACAGGGATACAGAATCCCTCCTGGAAGACCGACGGGCCCACGGACGCCGCAGATGCCACGGTGGTTGACGAGGTTAAGTAACTTGGTTCAGGGTGTCTGGGCACATCTCTGCATGAGACTCTGTCTCTGCTGCTCCCCTCATCTCTACGCAGATACCTCCCCACAATCCTCCCTTTTCCTTGGGCTGCCGACGCCTCTCTGACCAACAAAGAGTCTCCCCGCCCGCAGCTTCTCTCCTTCGGACCTTTACTTCTTGATCCTCACTCTATAGTGAGATGTCGCCTAATGGAGGGGAAAGCCCATCACGGGAATCCGTCTGATGGCCTTTGGGTTACCTAGGGGTTTGTCCGGAGACTAGATGAAAGTAGCAAAGGCTTTATTTAGTTCCCAGTATTCCAGACTGCAGCAACCCACTGGAAACACCCCCACTTTCAAAGACAGGCTTTGAGCAAAGGAACTGTAAATTCGAGATTAGATCTAGCACAGAGAATTCTCCAGAGGTGGCCCGCCACTCGGGTTAGCTTCCAGCCACCATGACCCAAGGTCCCTAAATGCAGTACAGCATGTATAGTATAATATAGAAATGTAACAGCCCTTTGAGCGTGAACTTGGAGCATGAAGGGTAAGAAGGCCTGCTTCGGCTGGGAGTCGAACCCGGGTCTCCTGCGTAGGTGGCAAGAACACCAGGGTTGAACTACCAATGCCCCACAGGGTGCGGTTTCACTAGATCTAATTTTGAAGAGTCTCTGGAAGGACTTTGAAGCGGTGTTTCTAAAATAGATTTGTATAGGACTCTTGAGTAGACACAGCGAGCAAACAGGACACCCAGGGCAAAGCCTTGCATTGGAGACATATGTCAGGCAACATTATGAAGTTATTTACAATGTATTTAAATCAACATACCAGATTTGAAAGAGCCTAATTGTGAAACAGGCTCTATACAACTAGATAACAGACCTCTATAGAAATACACAGGAAGTTCATCCAGGCATTTGCCTGTGGGCCCAGATTCGGTGAAAACCTCTGGCAATTTCATTTTCTCAATGATGATGTAATCTTTTTGCCAACCCACGCCTTGGTGCTTCCCAAACCCTTTCCTCTCAACCTTGAGACAATCATGAATTCTTTCCCTAAACAGGCTTTCAAAGACCAGGATATGGAGATTTAGGGACGCATCCAGGTTACTCTGGAAGATCTGCGGGATGATCGAGCCTCTCTTCATCTACACCTCTTTTGAGTCGTGAAAAAGCCAAGTATCTTGCTTCTAAACTCATATGTTTTTATGAAACCTACAAAAGTGGGAGTGAGTGACAAGTTCACTCCAATATTTCTTTTCTTAACCACACTCTCTTTGGCTACTCCAGGAGTCGTCTCCAGATGCATCTTTTGAGTTTCTAGAAAAGTCCAAGGATCAAAATGACTGTCTTCCAAGCTTTTAGGTCTTACAGAGATCTACACAAGAGAGGAAGTGAAAATTTCACTCTAAGCCAAGATTTCTTCCCTTGGCAAACAACAGAAGGTTTAGGACAAGCCTTTGCTTTAAGTGCCTATTGCTTTGTTGGCTCTGTTTTCCAAAGACATCCGTGTAAGCCTATTATAGAACATTCCCACCTCCATCCCCCCGCCCCTTCATGCCTGCCCATAACACTAGAGTTGTTTTTTGTTTGTTTGTTTGCTTGTTTTTACACCCATGAGAGGTTATAGCACATGGAACATTGATGGTTCAGTATTAGAACTGTCAACACCCATGCTGGAGACCAGGGTTCAACTTACAGGGTGAATGCATCTCATGTCTGAATCTCCTCTAGCCCCCTTCCCCTTTCTTTCCTCCCTCCCAAGCTTACATACCTTTGTTACTGGCTGGTGTTGTGAAGTCCCAGGTTCTTGGTATCTTAAAGAATTGGACATGACACACACAGCAAAGCAGCAAAAGACTCATTAAGCACAGTAACACTCTCAGAGAGGGGAGGATGGGCTGACCTCTGCAAAATGAGATCAGCGTAAGTTTGGTGAACTTTGGGCCTTTTTACACTTTTTTTTTTCTCCTTTTCCTGGGGCTACCTAATCCCTACCCAGCATGTGCCCTCTGATTGATAGGTGGGTTGCTTAGTTACTTTGGCCCCTGTGAGCTTCCACATCGCCTCCATCCCATAGTTTTAAGTACATCCATTATATGCAGTGTATATGCATTAGCTTTAATGAGATGATTATCATCTGGGGTCATTTTAAAGCTAATTTTTCTGTCTCATACACATGCCTATCTCTGAGGAGTTGCCTCTTACTGGTTTGCTCTGGATCTTGCCAGCCATAAGCTTTTTAGTCACTACTCTTATCTCACTTTTGTTTTCGCTGTTCAACTTCTGCTTATTTTGCTTCATGCTCACCCACTTCTTTATCCTGCTTCTGCTCCTACTCATTTTGACCTTTATTCAATTCCCAGTTCCCTCTGCTATTCTCCTGCCTCACTTTGACTCTTCATTGCTTTGCCTGCTGCACACTGAATTTACTGCAAATAAAACCTCTGAGGAGGATGCTGCTGCCCACTGCTCCCTGCATCCTCCGTCTTCTACTCCATTGTGTGGAGTTCCAGGGTATGAGCAGTAGAGTAGCAGGAGCTGGAGCAGAGGTGGTGTTGGGTGAAACTCACACAGTGAAATTTCACTTATGCAAATGATCAAGCACTTGGTAGAAGTTAGAGTTTGCTCTTTCTTTGGTTAGAATGAGCTATTTCGGTGAGATGTTAAAGCGTAAGCTCTTTCAGCCAATAAATTGATGTGCTCAGGGAGACTGAAAGAAAGGGGTAAACCAGAATTAGTGCTGCAGGGTCAGAGCTAATGACACAAGCTTCTCTCCTCAGGCCTATTCATTTTTTTTGTTTTTTTTTTTTGTTTTTGAGGCGGAGTCTTCACTCTGTTGCCCAGGCTGGAGTGCAGTGGCACCATCTCCGCTCACTGCAAGCTCCGCCTCCCGGGTTCGCGCCATTCTCCTGCCTCAGCCTCCCGAGTAGCTGGGACTACAGGCGCCCGCCACCGCGCCCGGCTAATTTTTTTTTGTATTTTAGTAGAGACGGGGTTTCACCGTGTTAGCCAGGATGGTCTCGATCTCCTGACCTCGTGATCCGCCCGCCTCGGCCTCCCAAAGTGCAGGGATTATAGGCGTGAGCCACTGCGCCCGGCCAGGCCTATTCATTTGAGATGCATCTCAGGCAGTTAAGCACAGCAGTGCTAAGTTAGTACCAATTATACACATACACACATATATAAATATATAAAAGCATATAATATAAATATTACATATGTAAATATAAATTGTACCAATATAATCAACATCAAGCTTGTTTTTAATCATTTACTGAAAATACATTGAACAGCTACTGTGCAAAGTGTTGGGACTGCTTAGAAACTTAAGACAAAAATACTGAGCCTGTAGTCCCAGGTGAAGCCTAGGCAGGTGGATGGCTTGAATTAAGGAATCCAAGTCCAGTCTGGGCAACAGAGGGAGACTCAGTCTTTTTTTTTTTTTTTTTCGGAGATGGAGTCTCACTCTGTCGCCCAGGCTGGAGTGCAATGGCACAATTTTGGCTCACTGCAACCTCCACCTCCCAGGTTTGAGCGATTCTCCTGCCTTAGCCTCCCGAGTAACTGGGATTACAGGCACGTGCCACCACACCTGGCTAATTTTGTATTTTTTGTAGAGATGCGGTGTCACCGTGTTGGCCAGGCTGGTCTCAAACTCCTGACCTCAAGTGATCCGCCCACCTTGGCCTCCCAAAGTGTTGGGATTACAGACGTGAGCCACCATGCTCGGCTGAGACTCAGTCTTTAAAGTAATGAAATAAAAACATAAACCTCAAACAAACAAAAAGACAAACTATGATTTCAATCATTGTGAAGCTGTTGATCTAGTAGATGAGACGTATATATATACACACATATATATGTGTATATATATCAAAAATACTATAATTTCAGAGAAGTGCTATAGGGTCTAATGTTTAACAACTTTTGGCATTTGACTGATGGTGTTTAAAGCTCTTCCACCATTTTCCAGGGGTATAAATCGAGGCAAGTTATTTAGTATTTACTACATTTTGGCTTCTTCATATGCAAGGGGATTATGGTAATAATACCTACCCTTTGAGGAAGGTATGAGG